CGCTACCTTTCCTAAGCCTCCTTTTTCATCTGCTATCCTATTCTCCGTCTTAACTCTTAAATCTTCAATAATAACTCTAAACCATACACTTTGGCCCAGGTATACTCAACAGACTTATCCCCTATAATATTTGCACTCTCTTTATCCCCTTTGTGCCTTTAATACAAAGAACTATGCATGCTCTCTGCCAATCCCTAGGTACCCTTACCCTCTTCCATACATTTATTAATAATAGCACCAACACACTTCAAAACTATATCCCCACCTGCTTTAACATTTCTATCTTTATCCCATCAATCCCGGCTGTGCCTTAACCCCCCTTTCATTTTACCTACTGCCACAAACGAACATTCCTCCTCCCTAACACACACAACAGGCTCATCCTCACTCTACATCATATGTGTTCCTCCCTTGCCCAATACACGAAATCACAGCTCCTATCTTCACAAAAACATTTAACAATTCCTCAAATATACCCCTCCTCTTCCCAATACCTTTTTCCCCCCCTAACTCTCCATTTAATAACCTCTCTCCTATTTTTAACTGACAAATCCATTTGTTCTCTAGTCTTTTCCCTTGACTTTTTAATCTCACTCCAAAACATTTTCTTATTTTCAAACAAAATTTTGTTGATAGCAATCTCACCCACCTCTCATTTGCTTCTTCTTTTTACCATTGCTTCACCACTCACTTAACCACTCTCTTTTTCTCCATTACTCTTCCCTCCTTGCATCTGGGGGGCTTCTACTTTGTAAAAAAACTTTCACATATGCATATACCTTTTTCTCCGCTTACACTCTCATCACATGCACATTCCACCAATCGCTTCCTCTTTCCCTCCAGCACCCACTTTCCTGTAACCACAAACATCTGGCTGAACACCTAACACTACATTTTTAAACCTACCCCATACTCTTCGACCCCCATTCCTATGCTCTCATTAGCCCAACTATCCTCAATAGCTGATTTATATCTTTCCCTAACTTGCCTCCTCTATTAGTTTATAAACCTTCACCTCTCTCTTTCCCCTGAGCTTCTATTCTCCTTGTATCCCATCTCACCTTGTTTTACTCACCGTGTAGCTACAACAAGAAAGTTGATCTGTATAATCTGTGGCCCCTCTATAAACATTTACATCCTGAAGTCTACTCAACAGTCTTTTATCTACCAATACATAATCCAACAAACTACTGTCCATTTTCGTCCCTACATCATATCTTGTATACTAATTTATCCTCATACTCTTAAAATATGTATTACCTATAACACCAACCCCTTTACTATAACAAAGTTCAATCAAAGGGCTCCCATTATCATATTTATCACCTGGCACCCCCCAAACTTACCTAACCACACAACCCTCTCTAAAAGTTTCCTCCTACTTTAGCATTCAATGTCCCCTACCACAATTACTCTCTCACTTTGGTTCAAAGTCTCCTATACATTCAACTTAACACTCCCAACATCTCTCTCTCCTGTCCTCTGCATTCCTCTCTTCCTCCCAGTGCATACAACGCTTATTATGACCCACATCTCGCATCCAACCTTTACTTTAAATCCACATAATACTGAATTTACAACATTCCATAATCTCTCTCTCCTTCCAAAACTGATCATTCAACCATTATCTGCTACCCCTTCCTTTTGTCTAACTCTCACAAACTCAGATTTAATCCCATTTATTTCCCGCCCACCGAAACTTACCCTACACCCCCATCAGCTTTGTTTCGTGCTTAGTCCAGGACAACCAACTTCTTTTCATGTCATAACCATCAGCAAATCATCTGTTTCTTTGTCATCCGCACCTACATCTACGCACATTTAACATCCCATTTTATAAATTTTTTCTCTTCTCTTTTTTAGTACATGTTCTACAGTAGAAGGGGTTACTAGCCCATTGCTCCGGGCATTTTAGTCGCCTCCATACGACACCGCATTGCTTACCGGAGGAAAGAATAATAATTATTATAATATTATATTATTATTATATATTAAATTATAAAAAATAACTACACCCACAAGGGTTGTGAATTGCTATATATAGAGTAAAGGCATACAAAAAGAATAATTTTCTACAGTATCCTCCAGTTTGTTAGAGAAAACAAATTCTTCACTTCAGGACACTACCCAACACAGCTGCTTATGTAACAAATCTCCATATTTTGACAAACAATTTTTATTCTGTAGTCAATGTAACATGTTATATATATGTCTATGTAATGGGGTTTTCATATATAATTTTGAGGAAAATATCATAGATTGGATAATGAAAATGCCTATATTGATGTAAAATAAGACATTTAGTTTTGTCCCCAAGAGTGATTATTATTAATGTAGTATTGTCGTCAAGAGTAGAGAAGAGACTTAGTGATTTTAATGTTATCCCTGCAGCACCTGCACATGTGTAAATATATTTAGGTCCAGTACTCATAAGTATAATTATCAGAGTACCATATAAAATATGCAGTAACTTTAAACACTTGAAATTTTAGGAAATTTTCCTGACCAATAGATGAGTCACGAAAATGAAAACAAAACCAGGTGGGGCGCCGTATTTGAAAGACCGCATGCCGTATAGCAAATTTGGACAAATTTGACATTGCCGTATTAGCGAGCGCCGTAAGAGCAAAACACCGTAGAGCGGGGCCATAACTGTACCTGGAAGATAATCACGAGCTTGGTCCCCCCAAATCTGCACACTGCCATAACAACATATAGGATTGAGAGATATGGGAGGAAGTGTGAAAAAAAACCCAGTGGAGCAGGGGTGCGGTGGTGACAATAAAGGGAACGAGCTGGTAATCAACATGCGGGGGGTCCTCCAGACTTTTTCAACATCTTACCAAGAATACATATCAGAAACACTGCTGGAACAAGTGTTGGAAGCCTTCAAGAAGGAAGACTAGACATGTATCATCACCAGGTGGCCAGATCATCCAGGCTGTGAGGATAATGTGGGGCAAGCTGGCCTCCAGCCGCAACAGCCTGGTTGACCAGGCAGCAACTAGACGAGCCTGTCCCATGCCGGGCTCAGAGAGTAGATAAACTACTCGAAATTCATCAAAGGTATAAACCATAGCTGCAAAAAAGTTACTCACATCCCCAGTATATGCAGAGGCATTTATCTGAATTAAATCGTCATTGCAACTTTCCTAGCCTATTCACGTATGGAACGCTTGAGAGATGCTATCAGCAGCATTCTGTTTTTGTTTATCAACACAAAAACAGGTCTCTCAACATTTTTTTTCACCTTGCGATCTCTGTTTCGAAAACAAACTTGCTCCGATTTTGCAAGAACAGCCTTCCTTGATTGCCCATTTTGTTGGCCCAGATCGTAACGATGGTTGATTGGTTTGGTATACAAACCGGGCAGCTCCCCGAGACATGCACTACTCCGGACTTTCGTACTTAGCTATTATCTCTTTCTTTTACTTCTTCATTTCCATTGTAATTTTCTTCAAACAGCATTTTAACCACAGGGTTGGCACTAGAAGCTTTCTTTGGGCCCATGGTGACTATTTTGCAGCTACAAGCACTAAAACACTGATAATGTGAAATGGAACCGAATGTAATGCTTAGATTGACCGCACAGGCGGCTTGTAAACACTGTCATGCACGGGGCAGCTGAGGCCACGCATGGGAACTCGTCCCAGACAAATCACATGAAGTAGTTTTTTATGTGAGGCGAGGCAAAATTTTGCTTCATAGGCATGCATATAGCTGTATTTAATATAACGGGCGATTCTTCATGAGGCCGGGTGACCACTGTACTCATTTAGTAACATCACACCGACAGGGAGGAACAATTTCACCTGCCTGGGTCATTTACAATGTGTCTAGAAATAAATACAAAGTATTTATAGTTCTTTGCAATGTTTTTATACATACTGGAGTATATATGACACACCCTGAAGAATGGTGTTAAGACAAGCGAGATACTGGGATAGCCATAGACATTTGATGAAGTGGAGCGCTGCATCTGTCCTCTTTCAAGCTCTGCATATTTGTCTGTCTATAGGTCTGCGTCAATATCTGTCATTGTCTGCCTGTGTTTGAGTGTTTTTGTGAAGGTGGTGTAGATTTTGGTAATATTTAATTATTTGTGTGTCACCGTATTACATAATGGAATAAATGCACTAAGCAACGTACAAATGGAGGATTACAAAGTGTTTCCCATGAACCAGAACTTCCCAGAGAATACATTTCCCCTGCGAATCGCACACTCTAGCAGAGCGTAAGAATTTGGGGGGATATGATTGAAGTGTATAAATGGAAGAGACAGTCATAAATAAAGGGGATGTAAATAACGTGCTAAAAATATCTAGCCTAGACAGAACTCACGGCAATGGCTTTAGCTGGAAAAATTCAGATTCAGGAGGGTTATAGGAAAGCACTGGTTTGGTAAAACAGTATATGTTGGGACGAGTGGAAACAAACGTGCCGAGTATCTGTCCATTGAAAGCTAAGACATTGTGTAGTTTTAAAAATAGGTTAGATAAATACATGAGTGGGTGTGAGCTGGACCTGACTAGCTTGTGCTACTAAGTCAGATGCCGTGCTTCTTCATTAGGTGCATGTGACCTGACCTGACTAGGTTGGGGCATTGGCTTAAGCCGGTAGGCGACTTGGACCTGCCTTGCATGGGCCAGTAGGCCTGCGCAGTATATTCCTTCTTTATGTTTCGTAAGTAATATTAACGTGTTAAAAGTATCAGATGGCATTGACAGTTTTTTTCACCAATAATGATACTTTGTCCTACCCGCAGTTAAGAATGTGAGAAAGTACAAGAGAGAAAATTAAACTGGGTGAGTGTCAGCAAATTTTGCTGATAAATATTTTCAAAAAGAAATTTACTTGAGAAATCATGGGAACCAGTTAAGAATGAAAGAAGTCATGTGATAAATATCCTTTTGTGTACCTGGTGGTGGTGTATAGGTGGACTGAGGCTTCTTTTGATATTGTTTTGTCTGATATGTTTAAATTTAATTTTTCATTAACAGATCCATCCACAAGAAATGAGTAGAGAGGAACTGGATGCTCTCAAGAAGAAGATTGTTGAATACTTTACTGAAGGACCTGGACAAGTATTTTGAAAACTTCGATCTTCTTTCAAATCATATGGACAAAAGAAAAGGTCGCACTTAATTCTCCTCCCACACAGAAAAAAACATTATTCTTCTTTCAACAAAATGGCCATATCCCACCAAAGCAGGGTGGCCCCAAAAAAAGAAAAATAAATGCTTCTCTTTTTGGTTATAATAATGTATACAGGAAAAGAGGTTTCTAGCCCCTTGCTCTTGGCATTTCACTCACCTCTTACAACATGCATGGTTTACAGAGAAAGAATTCTGTTCCACTTCCCTATGGAGATAAGAGGAAATAAACAAGAAAAGAACTAATAAGAAAATGGAAGAAAACCAAGAGGGGTGTGTATATATATATATATATGCTTGTACAGGCATGTGCAGTATGTAATAAAGTTGGTAGAATTATCGACAATATGTAAAGTAAAAGGACACAAGTGCAACTAATGTGACATTAGTTGCACTTGTGTCCTTTACTTTACATGAGGCAGTAAGAACCTAAGGTGTAAGTAGAGGCAGCAAAAGTACCTGAAATCTACCAAAACCATTCCCAACTGAAATATAAATTGGTATAAAATACCGACACAATGGAAGCATAAACACACATGCATTAAATGTGATCCTTAATTGATAACGTTTTTGCCCACACAGTGGCATTTTCAAGATCTGTTTGTGACTTGAAAAACGCCCACTGAGATGGGGCGAAAACGTTACAAAAAGATCACATATAAACTGCATGTGAGTATGTTTTCCACCATTCCAAATATCTGAACATATTAAACCATTCTCCTCATGAAGATTTTGTCATTTTATTAGAGAAACATTCTAGTTCCCAAGCTACTGCTCAGATTGGGATTAAAATTTATGGTCAAGATGTAATATAAAAAATTTCAATAAAATTAACTTTTAACCTTACCCCTCGACTGTCACAACCCCAAATCCTGAGGATGCCCTGGTGTCGAAAAATTTTTGAAAAAAAAAAAAAAAAAAAATTTTTTTTTGCTAATGAAATGATAGAGAATCTTTTCCCCGGGGAAAATGAAACAAAGAACAAAAGCGAAATTGAGAAGGAAAACTGACGGAATAACTCACTCGCAAAGTTAGGCGGCTTCAGCGATATTTACGAATCGGCCATTTCGCCCACTTTGAGCCCCATTTTCGGCTAATTCCATTGTTCCAGTCAATCAAACTCATAGCTTTTTCTTTAGAACTCCATTTTTTCTATTGATTGAGTACAAAAAACTACCCATTTACCGATTTCAACTACCCAGTACCATGAACAGAAATTTGGCCAATTTTCCACGAAAATAAAAAAATATACAATTTCAAAATAGGGTTCAGAATCAACAAAGACAGACATTTCCTGCTCTAAAATAACTTTTCTTTCTTTGTACACCGGAAAAAATCTCCAGCCCCTCTGCTATTACTCTTGCTTCTGTATTTGAATTTTTATTCAAAACAAAAGAATTGAAGATATACTGTTATGGCAGACTACGCCAATGGTTGTAAATGTAATTGTTAAAAAATGTCAACCCATTCATGACTCAATATTAGAATGGCTATTTGGACATTTATTGGAACAATGACATATTTGTTTACTTTTGAAACATTAGCAAAAATCAACATTTCCCCTACTTTGGAGCTCCATATCCAGGTTCAATTCAAAGTAAACCAATCAAAATTACCCTCTATTTCTATAATATGTTTCCATTCTTATCAAATGAGACCAAGAGAACTAGAATTAACAACCATGAATATTATAAAAAAGAAAGACCACAAAGTCAGCATTTTAATTGAAAAACGGTCATTTGTTTTTCTTCATTGAGCACTGTGTGCTGCATGCAGATTTTTTCATATGTGTGCACACTGACCACACAGACTCATTCTCTCCTGTGTGAGCCTACCACTTTCTCCTGTTTTGATGAAAGACACTAGAATTATGAGTACATGTAACGTCAAACACGGTGGCTACTAGACGTAATATATGTCCGACCAAACAGTCGTAGAAGGGTTAAAAAATAGAAAGAAACAAGCCTGGAGGGTCCTGTTAAAGTGACCACTATTAAAAACTTTCATAAAGTGGTAATTGCATCTAATTGAGATCTAAAAATGTCAATTTTAATAATTGTTATAGGTGACATACTTTATTATTAAAAAAGTTTATAAAAAGTGAAAAGGTGCTTTTTAGAACAAAGAGAAAACCCTCTTAAGCAAGAAGATTGTTGAGATACTACTCAAAAACCCGATAAAAATTAAAGTGTTTATTAAGATCTCTAGCACCCCCATAATTCTTGTACTCTTGCAAGAGGAACGGTTGAATAAGTACAGTAATGCACATACCCTCATACCTCTGAGATACATTTGATAGAACTGACAAATATTTTGTGTCCTAGGTCTATATTTACCCTTGCCAGAAGTTGAGTGATATAAATTCTTTTTTTTATTTTTCCCCCATGGAGCCAAGCGATGAGTTATTATTGCTTTCTATTTTGATTTATTATATAACTGGGCAGTTTTGGTAGCTGGTAGCGGTATTTAAATGACACAGATCCATACGTCTTCGGAGCTTCTTACTTTTTGTTAAGTAGTGGTGGGTTACACATGGGGCTTGCGTGATTGTGCCCATGCCCCGCAGGGCCATGCCAACGAGAGAGGAGCTGGGAGCCTGTGATCTTGATGCCAGGCCGCTGTGTGAGTGAGAGCGAGGCAAGTCTGGCAAACAGAAGTGGCAAGGGCCTAAAGATTCAGCACGCTGAGTGGGCGCGAATATGAACTACCAGGCAGAACTACATGGGCTGTCTGTGCAGACAGTACAGGCTGTTTCTACAATACGCTCGGCCACCTCACCGCGCGTTCGTCCCCGACGCGACAATACTGGTAGTAAAAGAAAACCTATAAAGAAACCCGGTCTCTCTCTTACTTAGGAACTGGGCACAGAACACAAAATAAAAACATATAAATACATATGTGACAAGGAAAAAAACTTCCTACAGGGAGGGAATAAAAAAACATTGGGGTGTGCTAAACATCGTGTGTCATATGGAGGAGCGAGCGATGGGCACACTGCACTCCATCCTTCCTGCGTCAGGACAGATACCAGTCACAACGGGAGACAACGCTGCGGGCTGAGCTGTGACGTAACAGGGTAACGGTCTCCTCTGGAACGGTGAAGCAGACATGCGTAGGATCGCTGCATATGTTTTCACTCAACCTGGGCACGACAAGCCTGGTGCCTCGAGTGAGGCGTCGACAAAACTCTACAACTGGGTCAGGACTTACTGGCAAGCGAGTCAGGGAGGACACTTCTCGACTGGGTACCGTCCGCTGGGCTTCACATGCCGGCGAGCGATGGAGCGAGTTTGTGGAGCGAGTTCGTGGCAGAGACGACGGGCAAACATCAGGAGGTCGTAAACATCATACACCAGACTGCAGTAGAGAGCTATCATCAAAGTGCATCTTCTATGTGCAGCTGCTCACTGAAGCTTGTGACACAAGGCGACACAGCGCCTGCCGACAGGCCAGCTGCGGCTTGAACGATTATCATCTCTCGATCAGCTGGATTTATAGCAGAGTTAGCCTAAGCGTCCCCAGACTTGTTTCTCTGACATATAACTGCACTCTGACGGTCCTGGAGGTGAAGTGAAACAAATCTTCGATGTGGGAATCGTAGCAGGCACGATTCTGCAGAAACAACACGAGCGACGAGCAAAAAAGCTTTCTGTACAAGATGGCTCGTACGCTCAGGGCTGAGAAATCAGCTGTCAAACACTGGTCACGCTGGGAGACAGCAGTGTGCAACTCAAGGGACAGTACCACAGACCCTCACTGACACACTGAAACTTTAAAACCACACCGCTGTACATAAGGTTTACAACAAGGCTTAAACTATCAAAAGATGCTTTTCTGTGCACAAAACTGACACTAAGACATAATTCTAAAATGTAGAACACTGACTAAGGGAATTAATTAACACTACGACATAAATATTCACCTTATTTTCCTTTTCCCCCTTTTTCCAAAATTTTAACCCTTTACTTAAGGTTTTTCTATGACAGTGTTTGGGGGGGCTCATCCGGTTTGCATATCTGTCGTTATAAGTCACTTTGGGGCTGTTGAAATTTTCTAATTCAAACTGAAAAAATTTTCCTTTTGATGAGCCTGAACGGTGTCCATGCGTCGATTGTTAAATTTGGGAAAGTTCATCAAGCTTGTGTGACTTATTCAGGATTTTCAGGTGGTTAAAAAATACACATGAGCTACAGCATATCAAAAGCACTGTCTTACCTGATACTCAACAAAGTTAAGCCCTGACCACCTCACAGCATGTGATTCAGAGGACCTCATGGGCTATCTGATGCCATCTCTAACCTCACTTATACTGTGCACTTTCATCAGGTCACTACTGTCACTTACTCCTCATTTTATGTCTATATATTATTAGTACAGTGAACCCCCGCATAGCGAACTTAATCCGTGCAAGAGGGCTGGTCGTTATGCGAAATGTTCGCTATGCGAATTAATTTTCCCCATAAGAAATAATGGAAATAAAATTAATCCGTGCAAGACACCCAAAAGTATGAAAAAAAATTTTTTTTACCACAAAAAAATGTTAATTTTAGTACACACAAACTGAAAAAGGCATGCACAATTACATGACACTTACTTTTATTGAAGATCTGGTGATGATTGATGGGATGGGAGGAGGGGAGAGAGAGTTAGTGTTTAGAAGGGGAATCCCCTTCCATTAGGACTTGAGGTAGCAACCCTTTTCTGGGGTTACTTCCCTTCTTCTTTTTAAAATGCCACTAGGACCAGCTTCAAGAGTCACTGGACTTCTTTGGGCACAACAAAATCTGTCCATAGTGGCCTGTACCTCTCGTTCCTTTATGATTTTTCTAAAGTGGTTCACAACATGTCATTGTAACAGTCACCAGCACGGCTTGCAATAGCTGTTGGAGGGTTATTTTCATCAAAAAAGGTTTGCACTTCAAGCCATTTTGTACACATTCCTTAATCTTTGAAGTAGGCAATTCCTTCAATTTCTCTCTCCCCTCCTTTGAACCAGTTTCCCCAGGTCTGGCCTCTTGCTCTTAAAGGGTTATCTATCAGCTCATCATGGTTAGTTCTCATTGTCCTCCTCCACCAACTCTTCCACATCCTCCCCACTAACCCCAAACCCCCCAGGACTTCCCCAATCCACAATTGATTCCTCAACTGGTATACTACTCCTCTCGGGGTTAGCCTCAACCCTTCAAAATCCCTTTTGTCTACACATTCTGGCCACAGTTTTTTTCCAACAGAGTTCAAGGTTCTCTTAGTCACTCCCTCCCAAGCCTTACCTATAAGGTTTTTCACAATTGAGGATATTAAAGTGATCCTTCCAAAACCCCTTTAGCCCAAACGAGTGTCGGGGGTCACTTCAAAGCACTTTTGAAACAGAGCTTTGTGTACAGTTTTTTTGAAGTTGGAAATGACCTCTGGGCCATGGGCTGCAGGAGAGGAGTGGTATTAGGAGGCAAAAACTTCACCTTTAAAGAAGCTCAGTCCCCAAAAGGTCGCTCTGCCACGTCTGTAGGATGACCAGGGGCATTGTCCCAACACCAGGAGGCACTTAAGGTCTAATCTTTTCAGTTAGGTAATCTTTCATATTTTGGGGGCAAAAGCCCTGGTTAACCAGTTTTTAGAAAAATTCCCTAGTGACCCATGCCTTACGTTTGCCCTCCACAGCACACACAAATATCCTTGAGGACATTCTTTTGCCTGAACGCTCTGGGAGTTTCAGAGTGATACACTAAAAAAGGCTTAACTTTGCAGTCACCACTAGCATGGCACACACAACAAAGTAAGCCTGTCTTTCATAGGCTTATGTCCTGGGAGTGCCTTTTCCTCCTAGTAATGTAGGTCCCCGCTTGCATTTTCTTCCAGAACAGCCTGTTTCATCACAAATTAAACACTTGTTCCAGGGTTTCCCTCCTTCAGTTTCTATGTACTCCTTGAATCCTGCACAATATTTTTCAGCCCTTTGTGGGCCGAACTGGCACCCACCATGCCGTATCACACTAGGATGCCACTACGCTTCTTAAATCTCCCCAAAACCAACCTTTGCTGGCCTTAAATTCACTCCCCACATCACTAGTTGCAGGCATTTTTTAATTAAATCGTCATGCAACTTCCTAGCCTTTTCACATATGATCGCTTGAGAGACGCTATCTCCTGCTAGCTGTTTTTTCCCTTTATCCACACCAATAAGAGTCCCCTCAACATCTTCCATCACTTGCGATCTTTGTTTCGAAAACACAGTTAAACCTTTGGGAACAACAGCTTCCTTGATTTCCGTTTTCTTGCCCACAATAGAAGCGATGGTTTAATTTGGTTTCTTGTACAACCTGACCGGGCGTGATACGTACTCCACTTTCATACTTATCATGATCTCTTTCTTCATTTTTCTATGGGTATTCTTACCCTTTGAGGTGTAGGGTTGGCACTAGAAGCTTTCTTGGGGCCCATGGTCACTTATTTTCCACAAACAGCACCGAAAACACTGTAATAATACGAAATATTCCGAGTGTATGCTTGAATGTTACCGCGGAGGCTGGCTGGTAAACAATGGGACGGGCGGCACATGTGAGGCTGGCTGAGGGCGCAGATTGGACGCGTCTCGGACGAAGTTCGCTGAGCGGGTTTTTGTCCACTATGCGGGGCAAAATTTTAGCGAACAAAGCGTTCGCTATGCGGATTGTTCGCTATGCAAGGCGTTCGCTATGCGGGGGTCCACTGTTTTATGATTCTCAACCCTTTGTATGTCAAAGTGATCAAAATCCCAGTACTAAACTCTTGTTAAATAAAATAAATATGCCCTAATGTTTGCTCACTTTTTTATTTTGAACCATATGTTGGTATCTGTTACCAAGGTTTATATCATGATTTTCAATTAGTCTTGTAGGTGAACTGTTGAAAGTTCGGTTGATGGACCTGGTGGATTCCCAGCTAGAAAAAAAAATAAGTTGAAAAAAATCGGTTGACATGTTCTAGCCAAATTTAACACAAGAAGTTTGTCTCAGATTTGAAATTAAAATTAACTTGTCCTTTTCACGTGCAATTATCTTGATGTTCACTTAGATTTGTTCACTTCTTATATTATAGGTTTTTCCAACAAAATATACACTAAAATGTCAATTAGTGCAAGTACTCTTTAATTCTCAAAAATATGAATATAACTGTAAAACATATATAGTTCTAGTCATCAAGGCATGTGAGATTGCTGAGCTAGAATGTGCACTGACAACTTTCCCTACCTGTGTACATTCAATCAAGCATCTGAACTACTGGGAATATTTGCAGTTCCTCTCAACTGTATTCCTTGGAAAGTACATGAGGAAGGTACATTATAATTTACACTTGGAAAATCCTGGAGAAACTGGTCTCAAACCTGAACACTTCAGTCACCCTGCACGACAGCAAGAGACTTGGCAGATGGTGCAAAATACCTCCAATGAATGAATGACAGGGAGGAGGTTCGCGATATTAATCGGTTCCTGAGAGCTCATCGTAAACCAAAATTATCGGAAAGCGAATCAATTTTCCCCATAAGAAATAATGGAAATCAAATTAATCCGTGCAAGACACCCAAAAGTATGAAAAAAAACTTTTACCACATGAAATATTAAGTTTAATGCAATAAAATAATTACAATAATAACAATAACAATAGAATAATTGACACTTACCTTTAATGAAGATCTGGTGATGATTGATGGGATGGGAAGAGGGGAGAGTATTGAACCTATTGTTTAGAAGGGGAATCCCCCTCCATTAGGACTTGAGGTAGCTTTATCCTCCTGAGTAATATAGGTCCTGCTTGGCAATTTCTTCCAAAACAGGCCTGTTTCATCACAATTAAACACATGTTTAGTTTTCAATCCTTCAGCCTCTATGTACTCCTTGAATTCATGCACATATTTTTCAGCCGCTTTGTGGTTGAACTTGCAGCCTCACCATGCCTAATCACGCTATGTATGCCACTATAATTCTTAAATCTTTCAAACCAACCTTTGCTGGCCTTAAATTCACTCACATCACTAGTTGCAGGCAATTTCTTTACCAAATCGTCATGCAACTGCCTAGCCTTTTCACAAATGATTGCTTGAGAGGTGCTATCTCCTGCTATCTGTTTTTCATTTATCCACACAAATAACAGTCTCTCAACATTTTCTAACAATTGCGGTCGCTGTTTCGTAATCACAGTTGCACCTTTTGCAAGAACAGCTTCCTTGATTGCCGTTTTCCTGCTCACTATAGTAGAGATGGTTGATTGGGGTTTACTATACAACCTGACCAGCTCCGACACACGCACTCCACTTTCGTACTTTGCAATTATCTCTTTCTTCATTTCAATAGTCATTAACACCCTTGGTCTTGAAGAGTTGGCACTAGAAGCTTTCTTGGGGCCCATGGTGATTTATTTTGCAGAAACAAGCACCAAAAACAGTGATAATGTGAATAATATGGAATGTACCGAATGTCTCCTTAGATGCGCACACACTGGCTGGCTTGTAAACACTGGTACACACTGGGCAGTTCATGCCACACGTGGACACGTCTCGTACGAATCACATTGCATACCGGGTTTTGTAACGGGAACGTAGGCAAATTTTTGGCTATATAATGCATCGGTTACCGGATTTATTGGATACTGATAGCATCGCGAACTGGGAGTCCACTGTAAATGTAAAGCACTAATAAAATGTATAAATGAAAATTTAACATCACACTTATTGAAGATTCTTGTTGGTGTATGGCAGACGGGGCAGAGGGAGGGGAGCAGAGTTTATTGTTGGAGAATATGACACTAATATCAACTCTGCGGCTTATTTATCTATCACAATTAAACTAATATGACAATAAACAATATTAATAACATAGAAACTTGGAATATACTTTAAAATTAATAAATTCAGTCATTATGTATGTCACGAGAGGTGTTATGTTGTGTTGTTGTTGTTGGGTATATAAGGGCCACTGAGAGCATAAGCCGTCCATAATGGTGGTGAAGCAGCAGCTGAGGTGGCGGTGTTTTCTGTAGCCCTATATAACTCCAACAGCAGTGGAGGAGTTTGTAGAATCGCTGAATCACTGAAGAAGGCACCCTCTACCACTATCACAACTGTTACCACCCTCTACCACTATCACAAATGCTACCACCCTCTACCACTATCACAACTGCTACCACCCTCTACCACTATCACAACTGCTACCACCCTCTACCACTATCACAACTGCTACCACCCTCTACCACTATCACAACTGCTACCACCCTCTACCACTATCACAACTGCTACCACACTCTACCACTATCACAACTGCTACCACCCTCTACCACTATCACAACTGCTACCACTCTCTACCACCATCACTACCACAACTGCTACCACCCTCTACCACTATCACAACTGCTGCCACCCTCTACCACTATCACAACTGCTACCACCCTCTACCACTATCACAACCGCTGCCACCCTCTACCACTATCACAACTGCTGCCACCGTCTACCACTATCAACTGCTACCACCCTCTACCACTATCACAACTGCTACTACCCCTACCACTATCACAACTGCTACCACCCTCTACCACTATCACAACTGCTACCACCCTCTACCACTATCACAACTGCTACTACCCTCTACCACTATCACAACTGCTACTACCCTCTACCACTATCACAACTGCTACTACCCTCTACCACTATCACAACTGCTACCACCCTCTACCACTATCACAACTGCTACCACCCTCTACCACTATCACAACTGCTACCACCCTCTACCACTATCACAACTGCTACACCCTCTACCACTATCATAACTGCTACCACCCTCTACCACTATCACAACTGCTACCACCCTCTAAACCCCTATCACAACTACTACCACCCTCTACCACTATCACAATTGCTACCACTATCACAACTGCTACCACCCTCTACCACTATCACAACTGCTACCACCCTCTACCACTATCACAACTGCTACCACCCTCTACCACTATCACAACTGCTACCACCCCTCTACCACTATCATAACTGCTACCACCCTCTACCACTATCACAACTGCTACCACCCTCTACCACTATCACAACTACTACCACCCTCTACCACTATCACAATTGCTACCACCCTCTAAACCCCTATCACAACTGCTACCACCCTCTACCACTATCACAACTGCTACCACCACCCTCTACCACTATCACAACTGCTACCCACCCTCTACCACTATCACAACTGCTACCACCCTCTACCACTATCACAACTGCTACCACCCTCTACCACTATCACAACTGCTACCACCCTCTACCACTATCACAACTGCTACCACCCTCTACCACTATCACAACTGCTACCACCCTCTACCACTATCACAACTGCTACCACCCTCTACCACTATCACAACTGCTACCACCCTTTACCACCATCACTACCACCCTCTACCAATATCACAACTGCTACCACTCTACCATCACCACTTTCGTATTTTTCTACAAACTTTTTCTTAAATTATGTGTGTTTCTCGTATTCTTTACCAAAGGGCTGGCACTAGAAGCTTTCTTTGGAGTCATGGTGGCTTATTTAGCAGTTGCAAGCACTAAAACGAATAGAATATTATGAAATGTGTTGTATGAACTTGTGGGATCATCCTCACTCACTAATAAACAATGACACACTGGCTAGGAATGGAGTGAGAGGCTGCTCGAGGCAGTGCATACGTGTCCGAGACAAACGACAATTTTCGAGTTGATGTTTTGACGAAAAAAAGTTGCGATTTTCAAAAATTACGACTTTCGAGCCTTATGAAAAACAAGGGTCCACTGTATTTGACTGACCACCACCACCACCACCACCACCACCACCTCCTCCTCCTCCTCCTCCTCCTCCTCCTCCTCCTCCTCCTCCTCCTCCTCCTCCTCCTCCTCCCCCTCCTCCTCCCCCCCTCCCTCCTCCCCCCCCTCCCTCCTCCCTCCCTCCCCCCCCCTCCCTCCCTCCCCTCCCTCCCTCCCTCCCCTCCCTCCCTCCCTCCCCCTCCCTCCCTCCCTCCCTCCCCCCTCCCTCCCTCCCTCCCTCCCTCCCTCCCTCCCTCCCTCCTCCTCCCTCCCTCCCTCCCTCCCCCCTCCCTCCCTCCCTCCCTCCTCCCTCCCTCCCCCTCCCTCCCTCCCTCCCCTCCCTCCCTCCCTCCCTCCCTCCCTCCCTCCCCTCCCTCCCTCCCTCCCTCCCTCCTCCCCTCCCTCCCTCCTCCTCCCTCCCTCCTCCTTTCTCCCTCCTCCCTCCTCCCTCCCTCCTCCTCCTCCCTCCTCCTCGTCTGCTGCCTATGTATACTCCGTCCTTCTTTCCTTTTTGCTAGTGTGACTTTGTAAAGGGTCCAAGTCGAACCGAAACATCGTCGTAAGCTCTTCTGTTCTATGTGCGGGCTATTTGTGCATTGTTCCTGTCACGGTATTGTATTTCAGTAGTCTGCATAACAGTAAATCTTCTATTTTTTGTTTGAATAAAAATTCAAAATAGAAAGCAAGAGTAATATCAGAGGGGCCTGGAGACGTGACTGATGAACAGAGAAAATGTTATTCATATACCACTTGCAACTCCTACGCACACAGTCAACAAAGCCTATCATCATTTCACACTTATTGACTAGTCGCGTATTGTTCGTATAGTCGATGACGGCAGCTGGCTTTACAATAGGTTCATTGTTGAACCTGCTCAGTCTGTCTGTACCATCTTGTTTGTGTGCACAGTTGACAGCAATGTCACGTCCCGTTTGTCATGCCACATCAGTGCCATCATGTCATTGTCATGAAATGATTCCACTAGATTTCCTCCAGTGAACTTTGGCATGTGCTTTCTGCTCCTTCTCACTGTTCCACATATATCAGTATTGTTCACAAGTAGGAAATCAATGAGCAAAGGGCTTGTATACCAGTTGTCTGTGAACAATGTATGACCCTTGCCAAGGTATGGCTCCATCATCTTGCGAACAACAACACCAGAAATACCCAGTGCACGCCTGGTATCGCTGAGTGTCTTTTTCCCTGTGTAGATAATGACATCCAACACAATACTAGTCTCACACTCACACATGACAGAGATTTATATTAAAGCGATTGCTTTTGCTTGGTATATATTGTTTGAATGACAGTCGTCCCTTGAACAGTATCAAGGACTTGTCAATAACAATGTTCTTGAAGGGATAAAAGTAGGCACTGAGTTTGTGCTTCAAATACATAAACAATCCCGTTTTTTGTATAGGAGGTCATTTCGGTTTGGCGTATTCCTGCCTGAGAAGTGCAACATTCGTAGCAACAGAGTGAGTCTGTTGCCGGGAAGGAGGTCACGAAGACTGGAGTACTGATGAAGTGGTCTGTGGACCAGTAGTGTGCTCTATTGTTCTTATATGTGTGTGGCATAAGCATGGCAGTGCCAAGGAATAAATACATTTCAGCCACATTTGTGTCTTTCCACCTGCGCAACCGTGACGAGTTGGTCTGGGTAACAGTCAGGTTCATGATCAGCTCATCAAAGTATAGTCTAACTATGTAGACTCATTTGTGATGGGACAGTGTGGCATGACGCCACTTCCACTTGGCATCAAAATTGTAAGGATGTGGCACAAATGGTGTACTTGCTGACCACTTCCATTCGTGGTCAGATGGCGCAAGGTGGACCTGTGGCATGGGGCGTGGAGGAGCAGGAGTGGAGGCAACACATGGTTGAGAGGGTGCTGGGCAGTCCTTTGTCTGCCCACCCACTGCACCACGAGGTCCAAGCACCATGCCACCTCCCTCTTCCTCCATTCCAGCATACTCTCATTCATGATCACTATCACTGTCAGTGGCAGGGGTTTTGAATCGTGACCTGCCACAATCCTTGCAACCGACTACATATGGCACACTGCCTGAGCGTAGGTTACGATGCCTAAAAGTACGTTTCACTGGGGGAAAATGATAATCCCTTTCACACGAATCATCTATAGGCAGAAAATCTATTTCATCATTGTCACTTATATCACCATAACGCTTGGAAAACGATAATTTCCTCTTGCAAAGCTGCCTCTGGGTAGTAACATTAGCAACCCCAGAGGTGCTGGGCTGAGGGTCTGGTATGGCCACATTGGCCACCCCAAAAGTGCTGGGCTGAGGGTCTGGTATGGCCACACTGTACACACTGGCCACCTCAGAGGTCATGGGCTGAGGGTCATCTGGGTTGTCATCAATAGTTTTACTAATTCCCTGATCATTAGTGGCCATATCACTGTCAAATTTACTAAACTCACATTCTGTTCCACTGTCCACGATGAGGCATCAGTGAATCACTAGGGTTTGCCATGATGTTGACCCAAGATGGAGCTGAAACTAACTGGTCCTACCATGCGGTACCCTGGCACCGCTGATTTTTTCATACTGCACACACTGAGTGCACACACCCATTCTCTCATGTCTAGGCGACTCAGGCCAATCACGCCAAATTTGAAGGAATGATATACGTTCGGATTGCTGCGCAAGTATATCTGTGTGTGGACAGTTTAAAGGTTAAGTGAGGAGAGGCTGTATTTGTAATTTTTTGATAAGGATATTCCAAATTAAAAGGAGCTATTCTTTAGTGTTTCTGACCTAGACAGTACCACATCCAGCATGCATGACACTGAATTACTGCTAGCAATAAAAAGAATGAAATTTTCCATAAAGGATTTTTTTGCACTAAAGAAATTTTGTAGGAAATACATGTACTCCAAAACTGTTGTCCAGAGGGCTGAGGAAGGGTTGTTGAGGTGGTTCGGACATGTAGAGAGAATGGAGCGAAACAGAGTGACTTCAAGAGTGTATCAGTCTGTAGTGGAAGGAAGGCGGGGTAGGGGTCGGCCTAGGAAAGGTTGGAGGGAGGGGGTAAAGGAGGTTTTGTGTGCAAGGGGCTTCGACTTCCAGCAGGCATGCGTGAGTGTGTTCGATAAGAGTGAATGGAGACAAATGGTTTTTAATACTTGATGTGCTGTTGGAGTGTGAGCAAAGTAACATTTATGAAGGGGTTCAGGGAACCCGGCAGGCTGGACTTGAGTCCTGTAGATGGGAAGTACAGTGCCTGCACTCTGAAGGAGGGGTGTTAATGTTGCAGTTTAACTGTAGTGTAAAGCACCCTTCTGGCAAGACAGTGATGGAGTGAATGATGTTGAAAGTTTTTCTTTTTCGGGCCACCCTGCCTTGGTGGGAATCGGCCAGTGTGATAAAAAAAAAAAAAAACATGTACTCACAAGACTGGACAAATTTAGCAAACTGAAATTATTTCTTATTAGAATAGGAGGCATATCAGTTATGGCAACATAGCATCTATGTAGTTTTGATACATTAGTTACAGTTAAAGAACAGCATGGGCATGCAGGAATTATACATGATGCAAGCAGTACACTATAAAAATTTATAATTTTTTGAGGGAGAACTACAGAAGTTTACTGGGCTTTGGAGAACCTCTTTACTAATATATCTTTGATAACTTTATTTTCCAGGTAAATACAACTGGTGCAGAATTGCTCTATGATAAAATTGGAGAGTTGGCAGAACTGGATGGCACATCTGCAATACTGGATATCTGCTGTGGTACTGGAACTATTGGCATCTCCCTGGCAGAAGTTAGTATTCATTTATTCTTCCATAATTTAAGTTCACATTCTGTAAAGTCAAATTTCAAATTAAAAGTAAGGTATACATGTCCATAGAATACAAATTTGACCTGAAATGCATAATATGCATAGTTTACCAGAAATTCTATAGTGACCTTATAAAAATAAGAATGTTATGGAATTGAGGAAATAAAATGACGAATAAATGTTTAAATTCAAGAATTGTAGATTAAAGTGGAATTATGAGAAGTAGGGTATAATAAATGTTGCCTTGTATACAGTAAATAGTGGGAAGAGGATTGTAGAGGGAGAGAGTGAGAGTTTCTGGGAGGTTTTATGTAAGCATTTAGTGAGATTGACAGTTAGATGCTAACTAATTGAAGATGGCATCCTTTCAATTTTTGTTAGGAAAAAGTTTCGTCAATACATATTTAAGAAGAGTGTAAATAAGTAAAACAGTTATGTAATACTCAACAAAAGCAATTTGATAGACTGTTGATAGATAAAAGGCTGAAGGACAGACTTTCTGATGTACTGTACATGATTTTAGAAGAAAGAGTGAAAGGAGGTATTGGTGGGAAAAAATAATCACGAAGATAATGAATTCGAGATGGTAGGGTGAGAAATATGAGTAACCCTTGGGAGAAGGTTGCATGGGTTTGAAAGATTGACCCTTAAACTGTCCAAATGTAGATCTACATTCACTCGTGTTGCTCTCCGAATGTAGATCTACGTTAGTTTTTACATAGAAAGCATGTAACATTGAACGTAGATCTACATTCGGAGTGCCACGCGAGTGAACGTAGATCTACGTTTGGACACTTCAAGGGTTAACTAATAAGCTACTTAGGTGAGAGAGATTATCCCAGCATTTGTCCGTTCTGGATTAGTGTGGGGATTTAGTATTGGCATGCTAGAGTGCACCCTGTGGTTTATAGTTATAGGGATGTAAATTTGGGAAGGAAATGGAAACATTGGTGGAATAAAAAGGTAGAAAAATGGGGGAGGGAGAAAGTATACGAAAATTTTTCAGTGGAAAAATAGTAGGAGGTAAGCTCATGGAAAGAAAGTTGTATCGTTGTATGCCAAATGCATCAGAGTGCAATTGTAACAACAATTGTATGGATGCAAGACAGTCGGTGAGGAAATGGATAAGTTACTGTTTAAGAAAATTTAGCTCTCATTGACATTACATTATTATTTTAATCATTTGTCACTACATGAAAATAGTAAGTCCTTATTTAGAACACCTTGTTCAGAATGTATTAGCGTGATTTGATGCATTAGTATGCATCAAATCACAGTGGAGCCCCGGTTTTCATCCTTAACCCATTCCAGAAAGTTGGTTGAAATCCATAATGGATGAAAACCAAAGTAACATTTCCCATAAGAAATAATGTAAATCTAAATAACAAAAAAAGGCACAATACCGAGACTGGAACAAAACACAAATAACCCTCACATAGAAGAGAGGAGCTTACGACGACGTTTCGGTCCGACTTGGTCCAAGTCGGACCGAAACGTCGTCATAAGCTCCTCTCTTCTATGTGCAGGTTATTTGTGTAATGTAAATCTAATTAATTTATTTATTTATTTATTTTATTTATTTATTTAGAAATTTTAGCATACAAACAGAGGTACAAAAAATACAGGTAAGAGCAGCATGCCAAAGCCACTTATGTGCATAGCATTACGGGCTGGCTTAAAATTAACTTAAGATTAACTAAGCAATGATGAAATCAGTGATAAGACATTATTGTAAACAGATAACTATAAAATACAAATGAGTATTACAAAGACAGTTCCAATGGTTGGATGCATTGCTGTACATTCAGTAGAATGGAGTATTCTGTTAGGTAGTGTATTTAAAAAAATAACAAAGTTAGGTTTAACATTTGTGTGATATAATTGTGAGTAACATTTAGGATATACAATTTATATGGTTCAGTTATTCAGTATTTATTTGGTTTTGAGTGAGTAAGTGAACTTTGAGAAGAGACTTGAATTTATAAACAGGTAGTGTTTCTTTTATATTTACAGGTAATGAATTCCAGATTTTAGGGCCTTTTATGTGCATTGAGTTTTTGCATAGCGTGAGATGGACACGAGGAACATCAAAGAGTGATTTGTCCCTTGTATTATGGTCATGTGTTCTGTTGAGGTTGGCAAGGAGATGTTTGAGGGGGGTTAATATCAGAGTTAAGTTTTTCTATGTATGTAATAGGTGCAGTAATAAGTATGGATGTTTTGTATGGTGAGTAGTTGAGTGTTTGAATATTGGTGGAGTGTGCTGCCTGTAGGGGAGAATTTGTTATCATTCTAACTGCAGCCTTTTGTTGGGTAATTAGTGGTCTGAGATGGTTAGTTGTTGTTGAGCCCCATGCACAAATTCCATAGGTGAGATAGGGGTAAATAAGAGAGTGATAAAGGGCCAGGAGGGCTGACTGTGGAACATAGTACCGTATCTTCGATAGTATGCCTACAGTCTTGGAAATTTTCTTAGAAATTTGTTGTATATGTGTATGAAATTTGAGTCTATTATCGAGGTGGATTCCTAAGAATTTTCCCTCTGTTAGCTTTGTGATAGGTGATCCGTTTATCGTTATGTTAAGAGGTACATCTGTAGCTCTGCTACCAAACTGAATGAAGTAGGTTTTGTCAATGTTTAGTGTAAGTTTGTTAGTCCTCATCCAGGTAGATACTTTCTGTAATTCGGTTTTTTACAGTATTGGCTAGCGTGACTGGGCTCGGGTGAGAGAAGACGTATGTGGTGTCATCTGCAAAAAGTGTGGGTTTGAGTAATTGCGAAGCATTTGGTAGGTCATTTATGTATAGGAGAAAGAGGGCCAAAGACACTTCCCTGTGGGACACCAACTGTAATTGGTTGTGCGGAAGAGCTTGCCCCATTTGCGTACACATATTGGCTTCTGTTGCTGAGGTAAGACTTGAGGTAGTTGAGGGAGTGCCCTCTAATACCATAGTGTGACAATTTTACGTGGAGCAAGTCATGGTCTACTGTATCAAAAGCTTTACGTAAGTCAATGAAGATCCCCAGTGGGACTTCTTTTTTCTCTATTGCAGTGTATATATGTTCTAGCATGTGTATAATAGCATCATTAGTATTTTTATTAGGCCTGAATCCAAATTGGCAGGGGTTGAGAATATTATGGGAGATGAGGTAGGAGTGGATTCGTTTACGAATTAATTTTTCGAAGATTTTTGAGAGAGGGTGTAAATTGGATATTGGCCTATAGTTATTCAACTCTGTTTGGTCTCCTCCTTTATGGATCGGGGTGACCCTTGCTATTTTGAGAACTGTAGGGAAGGTGGAGGATTCAATGGATTTGTTGAAGAGTGTTGCAATGATTGGTGATAGTACTTGTGACGCTTTTTTGTATATAAAGGGTGGTAAGGTATTTAAATCTCCTGCCTTGTTTTTTAGTGCTTTGATAATAAGGGAGACTTCGTATGGGTTAGTCGGAGCTAGGAACAGTGTGTTCGGGTAGTTGCCAGTGAGGTAGTCATTTGGTGGGGTATCTGAGCTTGGGATATTATTGGCAAGGTTTTGACCTATAGTGGAGAAGAAATCATTGAGTCTGTTTGCTTTTTCTGTTGGTGGGAGTTGGGGTTCATCTGATTTTGCTAATTTTATTTCGCTATGTCGTGATATCTTTTTTGTTCCCAGAATTTCTGATAGGGTCTTCCAGGTCTTTTTTATATCACCTCGTAAGTTGGATAATCTGTTTCATAATACAATTTTTTTGCCCTTCTTATCAGGCTGGTTAGGATTGACGAGTAACGTTTTGTTTGGTCTCTGGTTATGTGACCCATTCTGTACTGTTTTTCATATCGGTGTTTGTATTTATGGATTTGAGAATGCTGGGTGTTAGCCAGGGACTGTTCAGTCTCTTAGCTGTCATCTGTTTAGTTTTTCTAGGGCAGTGCTTGTTATAAAGGTTATTGGGGTCTTTTTAGAAAATTATTAAAACATTCGTCAATATCTGTATAGATTTCTAGCTCAGTGTGCCAGTCAATGTTTGTTACTGCTGTTGTGAAGTTATTAATGGCTGCCTCATTGTGAAGTCTGAAGGTGACTTTAGTAGTGTCTTGGGGTATTTTACCAAGAGTTGTTATGAGGAAAGTAGGGTAGTGGTCTGTGGTATTATCTGTAATTATGCCTGATTTTAAAGGGGATATGGTGTTGGTCCAGATGTGGTCAAGTAGGGAAACACTAGTCTCTGTAACTCGTGTAGGTTTTGTTACTGTTGGTAGCAACATGCAGTTACTCATTGTGTTTGTGAATTCAGTAACGTGTGGGTCCCGGTCTTGCAGGAGATTTATATTGAAGTCACCTGAGAGTAGTAAGTGATCTTTGTTCATGCGTGCATCAGTTATCATACTTCCTAGGTTTTGACTAAATTGGCTAATGTTTGATTGTGGAATTCTGTAGATGTTTATCACTGTGAGAGGTTTTTGTAGGTATTTGGATTTGAATTTAGTTATTATACATTCCCCATGTTCATCCCTTGTGCAAGTATTAGTGATACATTCTAGTTGGTCTGAGTAGTATATAGCTGTGCCACCCCTTGTTGGTCTGGCCTACAGTTGTGTATGGCTGTGTAACCCGGGATGGCATAGACATCTGTAGTATCAGGCTTTAGCCAGGTTTCAGTTAGTGTAATAATGGACATATTGGCATGCAAGGAATTTAGTAATGCTAGGAGGTCATCATAATGCTTGCTTAAAGATCTGATATTGTAGTTAAAGATAGTTATGTTGTTGTTGGCTCTGAGAAGTGCCTTGATTGTTCTGCTGTGTAGTAATTACAGTTACTGTTTGAATCATTTAAGTCATTAAATAAGAGGTTGGTATCAGGATCAATGTTGTAATCATAAGATTTGTAGTGGATCTATAGTTAGAATTAAGTAAAAAATAAAGTAAATTCTAAAGCTAAAAATAATAGCACCTGGATTATTTAACAAATGTAAAAAATAATGAGCTAAGGTAGT